ATGCAGCCTGGAAAAAACATAAAAATTGTTTAGATTTTAGTCAAGTTACTACTGGTGTTAACTGTTGAGAACTTATAAGGAGTTACAAATTATTAAAATATAGAACAACTAAATAATTCTAAATATGTTAAAATAATTTAAATTAAGGGATAAGCTGAAAACACTTGAATTTTATAATGTGCTGTTTTTATGTTTCTTGAAACCACAGGCAATATTAACAAATCATACGACTATACTCTTATTATGGACTACAATGTATTTGCTTTGTTTTCACACATTTTTCAGATTTTGTGTTTCTATATTCACTGAACTGTTTAGTGTGCATTTTAGTAACAAGATGGATGACTTCAGGAACTCAAAAGTGAACTATGAGTATGCACAATGGGGTTCATTTCCAACAGCTGAAAATGCTATTGCAAAAGCGTCATGAGCTATTCCTTCCTTTTCTGCATGCCTTGTGAAGGAGGCAGATAGATAAAGACTGAATTAATATAGGATCTACTTCAAAAGCAGAATACTTGTCAGATTGCTTGAATTATCCTACAAGACAAATGGAAGTTACAAATTAGTCTCTCAAACATCCCCAGATGTCCAACAGTTTGGTGCTTCAAGATTTAGCAGAATGCATCACAAGGCATCTCTGATGGCAATTCATTGCATCAAATTAAAAAGATTTCAATCATTATTTCAACAGCATCAACTTGATACAAGTTACCTCATCTCACAGCTGCCTCTCTTGTAGGCCAATATATCAGTATATTGCTTAGCATAGGGAATCCTTTATCTTTCCTTTGCACAGGCAGAACATCTACATTGGGACCTGTTGATCTACTTTAGGTGAACTGCACATTCAACAACTTTACTGCACAGCTGAATATCTTTATGAAGGTTAATTGTGATAACATGGAAGCAGACACCATGAGGTTTGTTTAAAAAATAATAATGGAAAATCACATAAAATGTAATCTTTTGCATCATGGAGCCACATTTATGTTTGTGAAGCTACCAAAAGCTATAGGATTCAGAGATTAGGTAATGCAAATTTCTGTGATCTACATTTGGTCACCAGATCTGGTACCATTGTGTAAAAGATTCTTTAATCTCTCCACTCACACTGCATTATCTCCAGAAATTTTATCTCTTCTTTGAGATTATGAATGATGACCTTTGAAAGGCAAGACATTAGGGAAAAATATTTTGAATGCACACGGAGCCTTCACAACCACAGCTCTGAAAAAAGAATTTTACTTGAAGCAGTTAATGAAGATGCTGGAGGCACTGAGAGCTCTGTTTCTTGGCATCTATTCAGTGCCTAATGAGGGGGAGTATGCAGCACTATGCCTGGAAAGAGAATAAGAGTGTGGCCATTATTGCAAAAGCAAAAGCAAGCTCTTAGTATTCATTATCAGCTGCTGAGGTAAGATGCAGATAGTTGATGTGTATTTAGGCACCAGTCATTTTAATCTATCAAGTGCTAGAGAAAAGGTCAAATATGGAGCCACAGCTGGCATTGGATTGAGCGTGGCAAGAGAAGTATAGTTTATGAAACACAATTACTTTTACTAATGTCTAGACAAAAGAATAAACTTTAATGCTATATACAGCAGGAAGCTTCTAGAGCGCTATTAGCTGACTTTGTTGTAATTACTCCCAACAGTTTTAGTTCTTCCAGTGAAAACGGGCAACAGGCTTGATGGAGGTGTTTTAAGATTATAATGGAGGTGTATGAAGGATTATAACTGTGAAGGTGCTTTTTCCAGTTTCTGATGAAGAAAAGGAAAGTATCCCTTTCACTGATTCACTGATGAAATCAACACTTTCAAGGGTTAATTTTTTTAGTGATAAAAATTCTAGTATGTCCAGTTCCATCTAGACTCAAAGTATAAAATGCTATTTTTAATATATATAGTAGTGTCAATGCATTTCTGAAACGTACCACATACTCAGAAATGGAAATAATGAATGCATACATTATTAACTCTTATGTGGCTACTTGTATGTAAGAACTTGTATGATACTGTACCCATGTGTGATACAATTGTCAGCACAATTGATATTTTTAAAATTTTGATTTTGTCAGCAAAATTGGTATTTTTTCCAAAGTACTGTTTTTTTCCAAACATATCTCCTGTTTTCCTTTACATCACCCAAAAAAAATTAATATATTTTTTAAAAATCAATATTTAACTTGCCCTTCAGCTCGACTTGGGCCACTGCATTACTACAATTCTGCCAGTCAAACCTGCACAAACTGTGCATTCACTAAAGAAGTCAGGGCACCTTCACAAGCTGATTTTTTTTAACAAACTAAAACCATATAAATGTCTGTAGGAAAACACAGCAGTGTGCAACTCTGTTAAATAAAACATTGTGTTCTTCAATTCCACAAATATCTCCTCAGCATGCTTCAAGGATTTCTGGAACAAAGCATTCTAGTGAAGTGCTCAGATAATGTATGTCCTTTTGTCGCTTCGAGGCTTTACACTTTATACACGGTTTTTAAAGGCATTTTAGGGCTTTCACTTTTAATCTGTGTTAACCAGAAGCATATTACTTTTACATAAAACAAAAATACAGTTATTTGGAAACTGCTTATTTCCTTCAACCTTTGTTTTTAGGAATAAAGTGGAATCCAGCACTCATAAAACATGAGAGGTCATAAACATCATTGCAAGAAAACCCACCTTGATTGATCCAAGACAACAAAAAAGGAAAAACTAATACATTAAATTTATATTTACTCATAGATTTATCAAGAAAGAAACTTACATCATCCCTAAGCTTGAGCTAAGAAAGTTCTATATTAATACATTACTCTAGAAGAGGCAGAAGTGTTAAAACATATCTATTCTACTAATGGTTAGTAGATATTTGATGTCCTACTTTAATAACATAATATTATGGTAAATACTGTGATTATTCATTTTGTGGAAAGTGTTTAAATATATTTTCTGCTAACAATTTGAGCAATACATTCCTTGGGGATGGGTTTTTTATCGATTCAGACAAGTAGTTCATACAGATAGCATCTGATTTGCAATACAGACTCAGACAAGCAAAAGACTAGTTGTCTCCTGTATGTGTCTAGTAATGCCAGGTTTCCTCAGTGATGTTTCCTTGTAATTGTCCTCTTTATGGTTTAATAAGCAGTGGGTCAGTGGAGGTGTGAGTGATACCCTGCAACTAATGGACAGAATGTAGCCTTCCAGAATCCTGCATTAATACAAGGACTCCCTAAATAAGGACCTTACAAGGGTTATGTATCAGTTGTTTACTCTAAAAAAGCATAGTTCTACAGGGAGCTGAATAGAAATTCTCTACCATTTCCAGGTGGATGCTGCACATTGGTGGTGGTGGAGAAGAGTACCCATTATCTGTAAAGTGCTTTGAGTGGAGTGTAAGCAATTATTATAATTATTATAACCCTTGTAAGGTTCTTGTTTCACTGTGCAATTTCACCATGAGGAAATAGCTGAGAACTCAAATAAGAAAACTATTTCTTGGAACAATTAGTCACATCTCTAAAAAGTGCACAATATCGACCTCACTCAAAGTAGAAGTAAGTATCCAGACGGACATCTGTTACAGATGCAGCCATTCAAAA